TGGTAATTTAAAGCATTCTTAAAAGGAAAATACATTACTTCATTGGAATACATCTCTTATGGCTTAAAGCTAAGAGTGTGAAAGATATATCTCCACTATACACCACTTGATAAAGCTTACGTTCGCAGCAAGAGCACCATGAATACATTCTACAGCCAATCTGGGAGCTCCAATAATACGCCAATACAAAGCTGCAAGATTAAATGCTATCCATCGAGGACCAATCTCCTAAAATCAAACAATGGTAAAAAGAAATAATTATAACAAAGAAAGAAGCTAATGATAATAATGTTACTCCTTTAAAGAGACAAGCAGAAAACTGCTGCTTTCTAAAACTTTATGCTCGAGGTTGAGAGGGATGAGGAGGTGTTCATAATAAAGCAAAAAACAAATATAGACACATTATTTCTTAAGGAAATTGGTGCAAAAATAAATAATAAGAATGAAATCGAACAAAGTGGAGAAGGGTGTGTATTCGTTGTGCGACATCTGCCAAAACCCCGTCAGTCCCAGTGAGTCGTTGAAACAGTGGTTTAAGCTCTTTTTCGGCAAACTCTTCAGATCGGGAAAGAGATAAAACTCGCTTAACGCCCTCTAACTGAAAACCCTGATTTGCTAAATAAAATCACAAAGTTGTAGAGACAATCTAACATAAGAAACCCACGAGTGTAGGAGTTGACTGACCAAAATTAACGAAACTGTGCAATTTACACGAAGGAAAAAAGCAAAAACGAGCGCCAATAACCTTGAACAGCGATGAAACGAAACGACTCGGTGATGCAAGTGAACCACAAAAAGGAGAGTTCCAAGGTAGCGGATGTTCTTGAAGCGGAGAAAGTCCTAGATATTTCACCAAAAGATCAGAAACTCTAAAAAAACATCATTCTGGTAAAACTATACAGCAGTAGTAATTAAACTAGTCGACACATCTAATAACTCTGCGAAAGCAGCCGAAAAACTTTATGAATGATTCTTGTCCAATTCCTTCCTTTTACTATCACTCGTTTCTTCTTATACTCAGGCACTAAATGTAATGCATCTTGCCGACCCTAAACTGCTGATCTTTATTACTGTACAATGGTTTACAACTCTTTATCTCACCTCTTTCTTATGTCGTCACTTTGGCTTAGCAGTATATAAGGTTACCTAACCAACCATCTAAAAAGTAGCACCAAAAAGTATGACAAGAAAGGAGTCATTTCCTTTAGATAAAACATTACTTTCCATGTTTTAGAAGCTAGAAGAAAATTAAGATAAAAATCAAGCTTCTCACTTCTATCTACATGGCTCAGAAGCAATCCTTTTTCATTATCAATTTTAGAAGAATTTTGCAATAAGCGTTAATATAAGACCAACGTAAATTTTACCTCAGTCAATTTCTGTAATTTCCTGTTGTCGAAGGGAATTAACTTTTGCGATTTTTTCAGAAAAATTTTTGACGGCATAAAAATCACGCGACTTAAATACAGAGATAGCTTGAAATTTTCTGCCCTAATAAACTGACAAATATCTTTCAAGTTCAAAGACCGTTGAAATCAGAAGTTCAGCTAACAGACATATATGGTCAACTAAGATCCACGAAGGACAGAACTCATGCAAACAATAAAAGGTTAGAGGCAAAATTAAAAAATTAATAGTTCCACCCTACCGGAATCCCTTGTTCTCTGGACTCATAAAAAGTTGTGGAACAGTTTTGTGATTCAGCGGAAAAAGAAACCAGCGGTTTGTTTCGCAGTAAGTCCTATTTGGCCAGTTTTCGTTCAAATAATTCTTCAGCAGTTTATTATTGATGTTATCGCTGTAACACACTGACAATGAAATTAAAAATCGGCAACCTCATTAATGGAAGGAAGGAAAGCCAAAACTGATGGAGAAGGATTCGTAAAAATTAGGATTTATTGTGCCTTTTCTCATGTTACGCGATATTCTACCGTTCACTAATGAGTGAAGGCCTTTTAAAAACTGATCAACATTCAACCAAAATCGTAACTACACCATCTTTAACAAATTCTCTTAAATTTTCACTACAATAAACTTACATAAAAATAGTTGAAAGAGTAGCACAAGAATACTTCAATACCTGTTTGAAAAACCAATCTTTCTTATAAATTTTTTCTATTCTTTTTTAAAGTGTCTCCTTAAAGATAACTCCTGCAGATTATATTTTTTATGAATCAGTTAAGTAACACAACTCGGTGCTTTCTTCATTTTCAACGACGCCCAACTAGCAACAAATCCCCGTTAAATTCTCAGCAAAAATGTTTAAAAAATATTATACTTAACAAAACGGTCCATAACCTAGAAGATTAAAGTTAAAAAATCCACTCTTGGTTATCAGTAAGTCAGGCAACTTCTTACTGATTAATGTTTATATTATTAGTGAATAATGAAGAAAAACAAACGGTTCGAGAGGATATAAAGGCTTTGTCATCGGTTCGTCCATAGTTACTCCATACATTGGCTTCAGAGCTTCTAGAAACGACAACAACTCCGTCGATGCAGTATCCCCATCACTAACAGTCCACAAAACAGTTCCATTATTCTAAATCAGATAATAAATATAAAATCCTACTGCAACAAATCTAAGTTCACAATAGATGAAAAGTATTCTTAAAGTAGCAGACACAATCCAAAAAAGAAAACAGAGGAGCTGCAGCAAATAAATTTGACAAACCCTACATTAGGAGCAGCGCGACACAGCACATCTTTCACCATCCTCTGATGCCTCGCGTCTACTACATTCCGATAACGTGACCAGTCGCTATCACGCAAATAGCAGTGCATCATCGATCTTCCTGACTGTTCCAATCCACGACAGTCAACGTCTGTAACCCACACAAGGGAAAATATTTTATAATCAAAAGAAAAAGACAAAATACTCACAAGGAAGACTTCCATAAGTAAAATAATCATATATCAGAGACGCTTGTAAACGTGCTTCAGCATCCGCTGAGTTCCGACGAATGGACTCCTCAAGCTTACGTACATGTTCAAATCTGAAATATCAAAGCAGCGTAAAAGGCAACTGCTTTAATAATTAATATTACCGTTCTTTTTGCGAATTCTTCAAAGATATCGTCTGCTCCAAATTACTATGTTGTTTCTCCATTTCGCTGATCAGTTTCAGGTCGCATTTTAAAGCTGAAGCCTAAAAAGTTGAAGCTGATCAAAAAATCTGACCGACAGTCCGGTAAAAAAAACACAACCCGATTAACTGCTTAGTGCTAAATTTGAAACAGATTTGGAGCACAAATTAGATTTAATGAAAACCTGTGCGTAACTTTTACTAGACAACTTTTTTTAGCAGAAATTTAGCAGACGAAGAATAAAGCCTTAGATGTCTACAAAAAAGCACTAAAAAAATTCTAGTGAAATAAATGGCGACTAGTTCAAGGAAAAAACTTCACCACACAGATTCTCAAACCAAAAAGCTTTCCCTTGAAAAAAAGAAAAGATAACAAAAGTAACAAAAAAAGAAATATTAGAAAAAAAAATGATTACTAAAAAAGACTAATTTCAATTTTTCAAAAAACTACAAGGAACGCTTTAGAAACCTAACTTCTTAAGTATAACCAAAACGCACCTCTTATGAAGTACCATAAACCTTATGTAAAAACTATATTTAGTAGGTGAATCTCAAAGGATCTGTGAAGACACAACAGTTTAAACGTTATTGTAAATGACTAAAAAATTTGAAAAAGCTTTAGAAAGTAGGGTTTGACCAATGAAGAAAACGATAACTTTGCTAAAACAAACTAAATTCAAAAAAAACAAAAAAAAAAAAGATAAGCATTTAAATTAAAAATTTCTTCTTTATAACGACGCATTTGAATTAACTTTTATAACAGAAATCTGTCATCCAAATAGAACCTTGTAGATCGCGTCAAGGCTCGGGTTCTTTGAGTGAGCAATTTCAAACTCTGTAATTGCTTCAGTTCGGTTCATCGTTAAAGTCAAGGCATCACCATATGCCAGGTGCACAAGAGCATCATCAAGATCTGTCAGAACAAGCTGAAAATAATTCTAAAAGCCATTTAAATTTTAAACCCAAAACTTATTTAAAAAGAAGACAAGTCGTAAAATAATGAATTCAACAAAAAACTAAAGTAAAATCAAGAGAAAGACTGTGAGAAAGTATAACCTGATACAAAACCGCTGCTTCACCTGAATACCCAGCTTTATGAAGCAGATTGCCCAAAGCGAAAATTATTTCAGTCCGCTCTTCCCTGCAACAAATTTTTTTCAAAACTTTAATAGCATTACTTCACAAAAAAGTCAGATCTCCCTTGAATCAATGACGTTGATGAGGAAAACATAGCGCAAGGTGATAAAAGTAAGTGTATACATCAGCACGCTAAATGCTCTACCATAAACCCTGTTTGCAGCATTTTTCCAATTTAAAATAAATTATAACATTACTTTTACTCTATGTGTCTAAATAGACGAGTCAATCACTATGCAGAAAGCAGTTAACCAGCAGGTTACACTAATAAAAGCAAAATATTTCTGCGCTCTACCAATAGACTTCTAATTTCAGGAAGATCAGTGAAAGAGTTATTATAATAGAGGGTTATATCAAGTTCTAATAAGAAAAAAAAAGCTCCAACAACCCAGCGAATTTCAAAACTTAAACTCTGACGAGCGTCGTGCTGCGCAGGAGCAAATGAGCAAAACCTTCACAGAAAATGAAAACTATTCGATGCACAAAATTTCATATTAGTTAGAAATTCAAAAACGCCTCGCTGTGTAGAAGATGAAGTTAACAACAGGTAACAATACTGAGACCAAATTAAATAAGAATTCACTAGAAATTTTGCTTTCAAGTCTCAGCGAACTTCTATCCTTCTATTCTTGTTACTAAAGTACTACTAAATAAATCAGAGGAATACGAAACTTCCACATCAAAAATTAAAAAACATGACTAAATTTAAAGCAAAGAGTCCTTTTAAAAGTTTAGAAGCAGCAGTCATGTACGCGCCCATAGGTACCAGTTCGAGGATAAATGAAAGAGAGTAAGATACAATTTACAAATCCAAGATCCCCTCTCCTTAAGGTGTCGTAACTAATGTTAAGAATCATAATGAAGATAAAAAACCTTAAACATAATCTTACTACTTGTAAAACAAACCTAATAAGCATAAAAGTGAAGAATTTCCTACCCAAATCCTCGACTCCAAAAAAAATTTTTTTTTCAAGTCACTACAAAATTAACATCTAGCACTTGTGAAGGCAAGCATCAGTAAATGAGAAAAATTTCTCAATCAAGCTACTCCAACAAAAAAATACTCTCCAGAAAAACAGAAAATAAGTTAAATGTGCTTATCATAAGTAAACCCCAAGCAGTAAGTTCTGAACAATAATTAATTAATAAGCTGATAAACATTTAGATTTCTCTGTACTGTCTTAATAACGCTCTTTCGATTTACCAAAAAAAAAAAAGCTTGCTGAATCCTTTGCAAAGCACGTACTATTAATTACTCAAGTTTTATCAATTGCTAACAGAAGCAGTTTGCCTAAGCTGCTAATTTTAATAACGTGTTTGATGTTAGAAATTCCTGTTTACAATATTACATTTTGATGTAGACCTTTTATATCGTTAAAACATTCCCCAATTTAACACTCTTAAGCTATGAAAAATAAGGAAGAATAAAAAAATATATTTTCCACAGCAGCAACACCTATAATGCTGTTTAAAATACTTAGTGAGAATTTACCATTTGAGGTCGCATGTACAGTAAATTCGGCCAAAAAATTTCCTCCCTGAACTAAAAGCTTCTAAAAAGGCCCAATAACTAAACCCTTATAAAAAAATAACTTCCGGGCCTTCAGAAATACAATGAAATAAAATAAATAACCAAAATCCACGAAGAAATTAGAAGTGATATAAAGAAGCATATCTCTTTCACCGTTTGAAAGATCTAATGTTCTGAAATCAAAAATTATTTAACAGCTTAATACACTGCCAAACCTATTAATTTGCGAACGATGTTTGTTATGAGGTCAAAAGCAGAAATCCCCTTAGAAGTGAAATTTTCTTCAGAAAATACTAACAGTAAACAGGATAAGCTTGCCACCTTGTTGAAAAATGTAGTGACCTCCGGAAACACTCAATCGCATTTGGGGCGCTCCCCTTAATCCTCCAGTACAATCCAGCTAAATTAAGCGCAGCAACATTTGTTGGGTTCTAAAAGTTTTTTTCAAAAGCACAAGTTCCAACAGAAAAAAAATGAAATTTAAAAAATCAAATAAATGTAAAAGAAAGTTGCGTCAAGTTAAAGAGTCTGAACAACCACACGAATTTTGAAAACGCAGTTATTTACCGTCTAATAAACACACACACAAAAAAAAAACTTATGCATTGAGCAAAAATACTAAAATTTCAGATACAGGACAACAACAAAGTCGCAAATTGTCTAAATTTTCTTCAACAATAATAAGGAAAAAACAAAAACCTTTTCCAGCGCTTTTGCCACATAATGACCAAAATCATCAAGGCGGAATCGACTAGGAAATGTTCTATTCAACTCCTTTTCAGGAGCTACAGACAACGTGTTTCGCAACTGTATTGCCTAAATAATATATACATAATAACAAATAAGTTTTCGTAAAAGACTTTTGAAGTATAGAGAGGACGCGGATAAACAAATGAACAAAAAATAAAACTTTGTCACAAGACACTACATTCAAGAAAAAAAAGTACCTCAAAATGTTCAAATGCATACATACTGAACGGCAAATCTACCTTACAATAAGGAACTGCTCTAGCTAGAGCCCCTTCGATCGCTGATACAGTTTCTACGATAGTTTCTAAGCTGAAACAGAGTTACACTCAGTTTACCAATAAAATAGTATTACCCTGAGTTAACTAAGAAACGACTTTCTGTTTGACGAGACATCTCTACAGAAAAAAAGAAAATAAAATGTTGTAGAACGGCGAACAAATAATGAAAATGTAAACAGTTTGGCGTAAAAGAATTGATAGAAAGATCATGGGTTGAAACTACACAAAAAAAAAGTAAGTTTTCCTGCGACAAATAAAGTAAAAAGAACAAACTCTTTTAACGGATTAACTAGTGAATAAGACACTGAAAACGTCTCTTTGTTCGTATTTAGTTTACTCGCACGAATGCAATCAGGATTGGTCGAACGTAATTTGCTTTCCAAGTACGGATCGTCCAAATTTTCATGAGCTCGTATTGCCTCCTGAATCAGTCTCAATGCGTGAAAAGTGCGCTGAATGTAGCCTATAGATTAAGGTGATGATATTATTTCACCACTTTAAAACTAGACGTATCTCTTTCTGAACCATATTGAACACCTTATGTAGATTCCCTACCACACATCCAAACAAGTGCGCTGACAATCCTGGTACCTTTTCAGAATCAATGGCCATAAGAAGAGCTGCTCATGCAAAATAAACCAGGTAAAAATCTGTGTTGAACTTAGAGATTTTTCTTAAGTACCTTACTTGTGAAAGACCCAGTCCCTCAAGTATGTAAAGAATACATCTAGGAGCCAGCAATTACAACTCAACAAAAAGCAAACGAGTCTAGAATCTTTAAATTTCATAGCGTCAGGGAAAAAGATAAAGAATAAAGATGTAATATAGGTCTCCTTTAGGAAAGTGCAGTTAATTTACTGCTGGATTTCTCTAATTTGAACAAAATCTGTTTTTACGTCATCCTTACAACTAAAACAACAGTACCAGCGCATACGTTCCAGAAGGTATAAAGATATTCTACGTGCTCACACTGTGAAGAACGGTTACAATTCTTATAATGTCTCTCTAAACTGACAGACTTAAAGTGTTACCCAATTAAGAAAGGACTTTTCTCAAATTTACACAAGTACTTATCAATACAGACGAACTTATGCAAGCAAATAATTCGAAACAGCTTTTCAGAACACCTGCTCCAAAAACAATTGAACCTCTATATCAAAACGCCCAAAGTGTTAAGTTGAGAAGGAAACTAAAGCTCGAAAACTTGTGCTACTAAAACAGAAACCTATTAAAGAAAAAATCATGAAACCGCAAAAAGTGACGTTTCTTTTCCAAGAATTTCAATATTTTATTAAAAGACGAAATATTGAAATTTTTGTGCATTGAGAGCATATATGCACTGTATTAAAGTAGAAAAACAGCGTAAAACAAACTTCATTTTCAACAAATGACCGCTTTGATCGACCCACTTCCTCTAACTTCTGTTCCTGTGACAAAAATTGAACTAACGAATGTGGCTGCCTGATCATGTACAGTGATTCTTGCTAAACCGTTGGACATTAAAACTTCACTCTACCAATAAAAGTTGTAAAGACCCATATAATAACCACTCAAATTCTTCATAGCTACCGAAAACCTGATAACATTTTGTAGCTAAAAATACTATTATTAAACCGAAATAAAAAAAAAAACTTACGATAGACTGAATGGTAAGGCCATCATCAGTTACCGTCCAGTGGTTAGAAGAACAAGCATAACCAACCAAAAAAGTTGAGCAAATAAAAAGTACAGCGTTTCTCATCTATAAAAATAATCTGCGTCAGGAAAAAAACCCCTGAAACTTCTTCAGATATCGTTTTGAAAAAATAAAATAATTAAAGAGAGATTTCCGAAAAGTACTCTCATCAACATTCCCAAAGAACTGATTATACAATTGCACAACTTGTTATAAAAAAAAATATATATATATATATATATATTTTTTTTTTATTTATTTATTTATTTATTTATTTTTATAACAAGTACTCTCATCAACATTT